TCCAAAATCCCTCCTTTCTTACCTAGAATCCCTTTCTGCTTGGTGGGGTTTCATCCTGGAGCTTTAAATGCTTTAAGCACCGGCCCGGCGCCATCACCGAGCAGGCCATGGCCTAGATCAGCTCCCTCCTCACCCGTGGGCCGCTCTGCCTCATTCCCCTCCAAAATCTCTCCCTTCCCATCTAGAATTCCCATCTAGAATCCCTCACTGTTTGCTGTAGTTCCATCCTGAAGCCTAAAATGCAAATATTGCATTTTAAATATTGCTGCTTGGTGAGGTTTCATCCTGAAGCTTAAAATGCCGGCCCAGCACCATCACTGAGCAAACCACACCCAAGCTCAGCTCCCTCCTCACCCCTGGCTTCCTCTGCCTCATTCCCCTCCAAAATCCATCCCTTCCTACCTAGAATCCCTCACTGCTTGGTGTAGTTTCATCCCGAAGCCTAAAATGCAAATATTGGGTTTGGCTTTAGCGAGGATCTCATTGCTCTTCTCCTGGTGATGCCTTGGGAAGGCTGACCTGGAACAGGCAGCAAAATTCCCTTTGGGATGTTTGGGTTCTGCTGAGGTGAAGCTCAGCTTCAGTTATGAAAACACAGATCCAGGAACAGCGTGGCAAAGATTAAACCCAGGTTTAAGCTTGGTTCTCGTGATAGAAAGTCACGGGATCACAGAGAAAATGATCAGTTCTAAGATGTATTAATGATCAGTTTTAAGATGTATTAAAAGCAGGAATAAAACAGCTCTTGTACTGAATTCCTGCATTTTAGAGCCACATTCCCACTTTTTTCTTCAGTTACAGCCTCCCAGTTGTCCCAAGGATAATTTGTTTTCACACATGGTGGCACCACAGCTCCTGGCTGAGGGTGATTGTTTCCTTTGGGCAGTGCTGTGGATACTGCACTCCAGGAAATAAAGGCTCAAAACCAGGGGAAAATATCCCTGTTCTCCTAATCTTTAGGAAATTTCCCAAAAAAAGTCATTGAAACCATTCCTGAACCTCCTGGTAGCAGTCAGGGGGTTTGAACTCAATATAATAAAGGAATTTTAGAGCACCAGAAAGCCCCAAACTCTGTCTGTGGTGCTGGGAATAAGTCAGCTTCAACAAGTACTGAGCTTAATTCCATTTGGGGTTGGCCTGGCTGGTTTGGGGGTGGTAATGTTGTTTTTTTAACAGCTTTAAAGGCTAAGAATGTGCTTCATCCTGAACCAAGAAATAAATCTTGCACTTCTGCTTTGGCACTGGGCTGCACATTGTTCCACCCGTGACTCTGGACGTGGCTCCCCACCTCAGACTGTTCCAGTTTTGAGTTTTTCAGTTGTGTTTTGCAGGCCCAGGCCGTGGTGCCCTCGGTGAACCTGCATTCCCCAAACCCAAGGCTGCTGCAGTCTCCAGGGCTCCCCTCAGCCTCAGGAGCAGAAACCTTTTCCTTCCCTCCCTCCAGCTGCCAGGGAGAGGCAGCTTTCATGGAAGAGGAAAGGGTTGAGACACCAAAGGTACAGCTTGAAATCACCCTATTATTTGTTTATTTTTTTTTTTTCAGAAATCATTCCAGCTAAAAAATATTGTTTTCTTGTAAAAGCACAGCAGTGCTTCCTGAAATTTAAGTATTTAAGCATCAAGAGCTGTAGGTATTCCAAATTCTCCTTCCCTGTGACTCCCCAGGCTGTGTCTTTTTTCATCATTTTTCTGCCTCCTGTTCTTTGCTCTCATTCCATTCTCACCACACTGCTTTTGGAAAGGGGGAAAAAACAAAAAAAAAAGTGGATTTCCTTCCCTTGTTCTTCTAAAATGTATTTTCAAGAGCTCTGAAGATTCCTTCTTACACAAAGGAGTCCTGGATGCAGCTGAAGTGTCCAGAAGGAGCTCCAGCAATTAGAGAGGGGAAATAGCTTAAAATAATTACATTTATGAACTATGTGACTCTCATAAAACCTCTGTTGTTTTCTCTGGTGTTGCACCACGTTATAACTTGAATTTCAGCGTATTTCTCTTGCCTGGTGCCAGCTGGGGTTTGATTTCCTGCCTGCCAGTTTGAAGGGTTTATTGCTCCCTGGGTTGTTCCCAGCACCAGGAGTGTGGCCCTGGTTCTCAGCTCGGGCTCCTTGTGTGGTCTGTGGCAGCTGGAAAGCACAAACCAGTTCAAAGGCTCTTCAAAATTAACATTTCCAGCTTTATTTGGCTTTATAGCTGCACTTTGGCCAGGGTAGGTCAGCAGCTGGTGACAGCAGTGAGGTGTCAGGGCTCACTTGGGAATATTCTTAATTTTTGTAGGACTTGGGCACTAAAGATTTCCAGGCTCTGATCCCTGGAAAATCTGCAGGGAGCCAACGTGGGATGGGTTCTGCTCCTCCTTTCTGCCCCATCAGTGCCAGGCATTTCAGTGGGGAAGTCCCAAATGGGAAGGAAGGTGTTCAAAAAAAAAAAGAAATTTAGAGGTAAAATCTATTCAGTCAAAACTGAGCAGAGCCAGAGTTCTCCCGTGCAGGAATCATCATTTTCCTGCTGTTTAAATTACTTATAGCTGTTTCTTGGTATTTTCCTGCCATATAGTTCTGCCTCAAGACCATTTGTTAAGGGCTGCCGTCCATGCAGTGAAAGCTCTTTTTCCAAACACTCCTTTCCAAAAGACCCAAGAACTTGGAGGAAAATTCAGGAATGGCTCCCCAAAAAAATGGCTTTACATAAAATCAGCTGCAGCAGTGCCAGATTTTGTGGTAAAGGATTGGATAAAACATGGATTTTCCATCCATATTTGACCCAATGTGATCCTATTTGTGCAGCAGTAATTACAGGACAGAGGCTCCGAAAGCTGCAGGACGTGGGAATATTTATAAATAAACTAATTAATTAATTTTAAAGATAATATAATATAATATAATATAATATAATATAATATAATATAATATATGTGTATATATATAGTACATGTGTATATATAATATTTTAATATATTATATTTTTATAAATAATAGTAATATAATAAATGGAATGTTAATGAAATATTTTAAATATATAAATAATAATTTAGTATATTGAAAATAAATAATAAATAATATAATTTAATATATAGAATTATATTTTTCCTTAAAACCCATATAATTTCATATGGCAAAGAATTAGTTAAGGTGCATGGCAAACTGGCTTGGAGAATAAAACCAGAATTAAAACCCCAGGAGCAGTTTAGGCTGGGGAGGTGCCTCTAAAGCTGAGTCAAAGCTGTGGGAGGCTGCTCAGGG